AACAGGAAACTGAGGCTCGGCAAAGCGACCCTGAGAACACTGCATCCGCCGACGCCGAGGACGGGGTGGAGTGGGGCAGAAGGCCACCCTGCCAGGAGGGGCAGGGATGCCCCAGGAAGGAGCAGCTCTGGAAGAGAAAGCTTGGAAGGACGTGTGCTTAGTACACAGAGAAAAATAGCCTGGCCTGTGCCCCGGTTGGGCGGGAGGCCTCACCTGCATGCTCCGCCGAGCCACCTCTCTCCCGAGAAGCTCAGGGAGGCAGCCCGGGCTCCACGGGCTCCCACCGCTGGGCCTGATCGAGTCTGTCACAAAAAGGACCATGTCACCTGGCTTCCCTGTCACTGTACACTCCAAGGCCCTCTCCCAGGTCCATCCAGCAGATCCACTGGCTCCCAAATCCTGACCACGGCTGCTGCGTGGCCTGAAGGGGGACTTCCCAAATGGAGCTACGAGGCCTGGCGGGCCGGGAAGAGTGGACGGTGCCTGCCATAGGCCCAGCCCCAGGCTCTTGGCTGCTGCCCCTGGGAGAAGGCCGTGCTGAGAGCTGAGGGCGACCTGCTGGCGTCTCCCCAGTTCCCATGAGTTAGCCACAGAGGCCCTTCTTTCCATCGCTGCTTTCTCCAAACAAAACAGTGGGGACGACAAGCTTTGACCTTGATGTAAAAGATATCAATGATAAAGGCCTTTTCTTACATTTTGAAAATAAACAAACCCCAAGCATACCAGCCCACACAAATCTGACGCCCGCCTGGCCATGCTCCCATCAACTGCAGAACGAGAGGCTCTAGGTGCCAAAAGGCCCAGCAGAAAGCAGAGCGCCATCGAGGGCGGGGAGCCGTGCGGCGCGATGCGCGCTCCTGTGTGGGCAGCCACGGGCCGGGGCACACTGACCTTCCTGCAACCTCCACGGATGCTGGAAGCCACTGACGCAACTCCCCAAATTTAAGTACCTACTCCACCACCTCCCACGTGGCTCCTGGGGCCTGGAGCACAGCGTTGGAGACCGCCCTGCCTCGCATGGCATTCAGGACTTTGCAGGGTCAGGCACCGGCCACACCAGCCCAGCACTTCTCGACGCGCTGCTACGCACGGCCTCTCCCCCTGCGCCCGCAGAGGCCCTTCTCCATGATGACAAGGCGTGGCCTCTGCTCCTGGTCCCAGCTCCCCCTCTCACAGCAGACACACATCGAAGCCTGTCTGGCACCTCATCCAGCCTTGGCCTTGGTGAGCTACTGACCTGCCTGGGCTTCCCTTCTGAGCCATTCCTTCTGTCTCGCTACACGCCATCCCCTCTCTGCGGCCCCCAGGCCTGCTGCTCGGTGTGGCAAGGGTCGTTCTCCCCAGGCAGGGCTACTCCTGCAAGTCAGGGTGTGTGTGGGAGGCATGTGTTGTTCACCTCTGCACAGGAAAAGCCAACTCCAGCTTCGGAGGGGCTCCCAGCACTGATGCTTGGCGAGCAGGTGGCGGGGCTGCCCCTCTGCCACTCTCCTCCCCCTCCCCAGGCCTGGCAGCCAGTGCTTTCTCCAGCCACACTCTTCCCCTTGAAGGCCTCCAGTGCCTCCCATCGCTCCTAGGAAAGAGACTGCACACTCACCACGGCCCCCGCCCAGTCTCCAGCTCCCCCCACACCACACCCACGCTTACACACAGCCCCCCATCCCCCACCCGCCATCAATCCGAACACCGCGCGCAGACACATTTGCTGGGGGAGACACCCACTGTCGCAGGACCACGTGCAACTCACAGGCTGTAACGACAGAGCCTCTAGGTGAACAATGGCCCCTAGGTCTCTAAGACAAGGAGATGCTGATGAAGACGGAGAGTACATCAGTGCCCACTCACCACTCCATCAGCCTCGTGCTCGGCCCTAGAGACGCCCACGACACATACTCAGTATCTGAACACTGAACGGCTGAACGGATGGAAACCAAGTCGCTCAGACTCCGGCGGGTGCCACAGAGGGCGATGTGTACGGCACAGCCCATGCGTGAGGAATGCTTCAGAGATGCTGGAGGAACCTCGAATCTAGAAGGCATCGCAGCTGCCATGTGCAGAGCACTTCCTGGGCCTGGGTCAGCATCGCAGCTGCCATGTGCGGAGCACTTCCTGGGCCTGGGTCAGCATCGCAGCTGCCATGTGCAGAGCACTTCCTGGGCC